CCTATTCAGACGCTTTTATCTCGAAAATTACTCTTATTTCCTTTCTTTAACTTCTGTTACTTAGAGTCCTAACGCTGGTCTGGGGTGTGAATCCAAATTTAAAAGCCTCAATATAGTATAAATGGTCCAAAAGGGCCACAATATTTTAAAAAATATCTGTAAATCTGCTTCTAGTGGTATAAGGGAGGTAAAACTGTCCAATGGATCTTCCTGAAACTTCTGGTACAGGAAGTTAAGTTCCCATACCACTTGTTAAATCTATCCCGATAATGATCCGTAAACAGGAAGTAGTCAAAAAAATATTCGATATTTTAAAAAAAAAGACTGTAAAAAAATCGGTGCTCTTGGAACAATCAGGATTTCACCGTCGGGTGTGACCGGATCAAAACATCTAAAGTATCGTTTGGTAGCTCGATAAATAGGCTATTGTATGACACACTTCCTGTCTGATTCCTGAAAGCCGGTTCAGTGCTGCTTGCAGGTCTAGTTATTATTTTTTTTTTTTTTTGGTAGAGCCTATTTCTCAGTGCCTGTAACAGATACCGATATGGGACCTAATTTTCTATTGGGAAACCATGTGGTGGCTACTTGATAAACTATTTTTGTAACTTCTGCGCAGACCGGAAGTGGATGAATTTCGTGCGGTGCATAAAAATTAAAAATCGGCCGTAGTTTCGTCAATTCTGTACCTATTTTCATACAAATGACATTTTCAGAAACCCTGAGTCTTTTCTCGGACGATAGCATTTGAAAAGTTTGAAACTTCGTCGCTGACTTCTAGCCTTCGAAAAATGAAAAATTTTGTTTAAAAGACAATTTTTGTTATTTTTCAAAATTTTCAAATTTGACCTTCATTTTTGGATACCTGAAGACCATCCGATTCCAGAAATATAATTTTCATTCTGAGTCATCGCCCTTTATTTTTCGATTTTCTAATTTTCTGCCCATTGCCCAACCCTTATATTTTTGGGAAAGAATAAATCGATAGTTCTGAAAGTCCTGGAACATAAAGCTATATAGTCAGACCGCTGGATAAAGCAATTTCAACAACAATCCGAAAACCGGAAGTAGTCGAAATAATGATAGATATTTCGAAAAAAAGGCAAAAAATGGGTGTTTTTTGGGAAAAACTCGATTTCTCCGTCCATTATCAATGGATTAAACGAATTAAGCTTTCGTTGAGTGGCCCGAGGAATGGACTGTCGAATGATGCCCAATTTATACGGATACTATGACCAAGCAGCAAAATATGACAAGCTGAAAATCAAGTATTTTCTGATTTTGAGCGTTTTTGGACGCCTTTATCTCAAAAACTTAACCTACAATTTTTTTTTAACTTTCTCTATCGAGAGTCCTTTAGTTAGTCTTGTGCATGAAAACATCCAAGAAGTCTTTGAAATGTCTGGAATAGGATAAAAAAAAGGGACTGAAAATCGAAAAAAGTCGAAAAATCGTGAAATTTTGGAAAATGCTATATTATTTTATTATTTAATCAGATATTTACGAAAAGGTTACACATTCAGATAGCTGACCTAATTATGATTCTAACGATGTATAATATGTATTGAGTTATTGAAATTTAATTTTCGCGATTTTGACATTTTTGAATTTTTGGCACTTTTGAACATAGGATTTCTCAGGGCCATTTTATCTGATAAGATAATGTAATATATCATTACAGAGCCCTGTGGCTATCTAATTGCCAACATTGGTTATTAAAACTACCCCGACAATAATCTCCATACCGGACGTATTCAAAAAATGAAGAAAAAGGTTAAAAAAAATTAGCGCTCGTGCGAAAAACTTGATTTCTCCATCAGATCTTAGCGGACCAAAAGAACTAAAATGTCGCTGGATAGCCCCATTAATGGACTATCATATGACATCTGAATGATACGATTTAGATGGCTAGAAAAAAAATTATGGTACGCCAAAAATCTAGTATTTTCCATTTTGGAGCATTTTGAGAGGCCTTTTTCTCAAACACAACAACTACGTTTTTTCTTAAACTTTTTTTACTCAGAGTCCTATGGATGGACTATGGCGTGAGTCCAAAAATAAAAGCATTGAAATAACATAAGTTGTCCAAAAAGAGCCTCAATCTTGGAAAAAAGTTGAAAAATCCTCAAATTACTGAAAATGCTCTTCTATTATTCTTTGTTTTGAAAACAGCTCAATGGGTGTTTCTAAAACTTCTGGTACAGAAAGTTAACTATCCAAACAACATGTTAAAACTATCCCGACAATGATCCAAAAACGGGAAGTAGTCGAAAAAATATCTGATATTTTGAAAAAAACAACTTAAAAAGTAAAAAATGGTGATCTTGCGAAAAAAGTGATTACAACGCCATATTTCAACGAATCAAAACAACTAAAGTGTCATTGGATAGCCCGAACAATGGGCGATCTTATGACATCTCAATGGTAAAAAATCGCTGGTTACGTAATATATTATGAGATGCTGAAAATCTAGTATTTTCCTTTTTGGAGCCTATTCAGACGCTTTTATCTCGAAAATTACTCTTATTTCCTTTCTTTAACTTCTGTTACTTAGAGTCCTAACGCTGGTCTGGGGTGTGAATCCAAATTTAAAAGCCTCAATATAGTATAAATGGTCCAAAAGGGCCACAATATTTTAAAAAATATCTGTAAATCTGCTTCTAGTGGTATAAGGGAGGTAAAACTGTCCAATGGATCTTCCTGAAACTTCTGGTACAGGAAGTTAAGTTCCCATACCACTTGTTAAATCTATCCCGATAATGATCCGTAAACAGGAAGTAGTCAAAAAAATATTCGATATTTTAAAAAAAAAGACAGTAAAAAAATCGGTGCTCTTGGAACAATCAGGATTTCACCGTCGGGTGTGACCGGATCAAAACATCTAAAGTATCGTTTGGTAGCTCGATAAATAGGCTATTGTATGACACACTTCCTGTCTGATTCCTGAAAGCCGGTTCAGTGCTGCTTGCAGGTCTAGTTATTATTTTTTTTTTTTTTTGGTAGAGCCTATTTCTCAGTGCCTGTAACAGATACCGATATGGGACCTAATTTTCTATTGGGAAACCATGTGGTGGCTACTTGATAAACTATTTTTGTAACTTCTGCGCAGACCGGAAGTGGATGAATTTCGTGCGGTGCATAAAAATTAAAAATCGGCCGTAGTTTCGTCAATTCTGTACCTATTTTCATACAAATGACATTTTCAGAAACCCTGAGTCTTTTCTCGGACGATAGCATTTGAAAAGTTTGAAACTTCGTCGCTGACTTCTAGCCTTCGAAAAATGAAAAATTTTGTTTAAAAGACAATTTTTGTTATTTTTCAAAATTTTCAAATTTGACCTTCATTTTTGGATACCTGAAGACCATCCGATTCCAGAAATATAATTTTCATTCTGAGTCATCGCCCTTTATTTTTCGATTTTCTAATTTTCTGCCCATTGCCCAACCCTTATATTTTTGGGAAAGAATAAATCGATAGTTCTGAAAGTCCTGGAACATAAAGCTATATAGTCAGACCGCTGGATAAAGCAATTTCAACAACAATCCGAAAACCGGAAGTAGTCGAAATAATGATAGATATTTCGAAAAAAAGGCAAAAAATGGGTGTTTTTTGGGAAAAACTCGATTTCTCCGTCCATTATCAATGGATTAAACGAATTAAGCTTTCGTTGAGTGGCCCGAGGAATGGACTGTCGAATGATGCCCAATTTATACGGATACTATGACCAAGCAGCAAAATATGACAAGCTGAAAATCAAGTATTTTCTGATTTTGAGCGTTTTTGGACGCCTTTATCTCAAAAACTTAACCTACAATTTTTTTTTAACTTTCTCTATCGAGAGTCCTTTAGTTAGTCTTGTGCATGAAAACATCCAAGAAGTCTTTGAAATGTCTGGAATAGGATAAAAAAAAGGGACTGAAAATCGAAAAAAGTCGAAAAATCGTGAAATTTTGGAAAATGCTATATTATTTTATTATTTAATCAGATATTTACGAAAAGGTTACACATTCAGATAGCTGACCTAATTATGATTCTAACGATGTATAATATGTATTGAGTTATTGAAATTTAATTTTCGCGATTTTGACATTTTTGAATTTTTGGCACTTTTGAACATAGGATTTCTCAGGGCCATTTTATCTGATAAGATAATGTAATATATCATTACAGAGCCCTGTGGCTATCTAATTGCCAACATTGGTTATTAAAACTACCCCAACAATAATCTCCATACCGGACGTATTCAAAAAATGAAGAAAAAGGTTAAAAAAAATTAGCGCTCGTGCGAAAAACTTGATTTCTCCATCAGATCTTAGCGGACCAAAAGAACTAAAATGTCGCTGGATAGCCCCATTAATGGACTATCATATGACATCTGAATGATACGATTTAGATGGCTAGAAAAAAAATTATGGTACGCCAAAAATCTAGTATTTTCCATTTTGGAGCATTTTGAGAGGCCTTTTTCTCAAACACAACAACTACGTTTTTTCTTAAACTTTTTTTACTCAGAGTCCTATGGATGGACTATGGCGTGAGTCCAAAAATAAAAGCATTGAAATAACATAAGTTGTCCAAAAAGAGCCTCAATCTTGGAAAAAAGTTGAAAAATCCTCAAATTACTGAAAATGCTCTTCTATTATTCTTTGTTTTGAAAACAGCTCAATGGGTGTTTCTAAAACTTCTGGTACAGAAAGTTAACTATCCAAACAACATGTCAAAACTATCCCGACAATGATCCAAAAACCGGAAGTAGTCGAAAAAATATCCGATATTTTGAAAAAACAACTTAAAAAGTAAAAAATGGTGATCTTGCGAAAAAAGTGATTGTGTGAGAGTTATAGACAAAATAGGGACTATATGTATAATTGTAAACTGCCTAAATTTTCATTTTTAAATTGTATTACATTCTGTTTTAATTCGTATAGTTTAACCAGTGGTCTGAAGCAAGATTTATATCATTAGTGGTTAAGGGGAGATAACAACCATTATTATCAGGACTCAGACTAGCAATTATTTGCCCATTGACTTCAATGTTAAATGACTGTAACATCACAGGCTGTAGCTTTTTGCTCAACATTCCGTTGGTTCCAATCTTTATAGGCACAATGGGGACAACATTTGGCAATCTCCTCATCATAATTTTGTAGGGGGTTGACCGTTTAGATTTTTTGCTACACGGATTTGAAGTTGAGAGGGGTGAAAATCTCACTTCCGACACAATGATTGCTCTGCAGAAAGACACTTTACACCCCCTACCCCGCCGCTGTAATATCATCAGTATTACCCAAAACTGCTATGAAATTGCAAATTTGATCCCTTTTCTCCAATTCTAGACCAAAAAGTCAACCCAAAAATGCAGGAAGAGGGGAGAAAAAAATTAAGGGAAAAATTCTCTATTTATAACTCGCACTACATTCGTCCATCATGAAATAAGGGGAAATAATTACTAGTCTTAGTCCTATATACCTCACATGTTTCTGCAGTTTAAACAAATCTGTTGTTATCTAATAAACAAACATATATGCAATTCCCTGGCCAAAGAATATGAAAATCTATGCATTTTCAGATGAGCTGTGCGGCATTCTGCAAACACTATAATACATCAGAAAACTGCGGAATTTCAGACAGAAATTTAAAAGCACATGAATTTTGAATTAAACAGAACATTTTTATTTTTGAACATAAATGCATTCTGTAAAAAGATGAGATAAATTCAATATAAATCAAACACGAAAATACTTTAAAACAGTAATCATGATGCAATATTAGACTTTTTAACACTTTCATCGAAAACCACACAGTTTTCTCTGTTAACGTAGTTTCAAGTGCCAAATTGTGGTGAAATCTAAAATGTTGAAACATGCAGTGCCTATCAATTTTAAAATATCTCCTATATAGCTGTATTTCCATAGGATAAGTAAGTTGAAATAATCTGATTATGTAACACTACAACAGCTTTTTCATCCCCACCCCCTAGTTTGGAATCTGATAATTTAAAAACACATGAATTTTGAATTCCACAGAACATTTTTATTTTTGAACATAAATGCATTCTTCAAAAAGATGAGATGAATTCAATATAAATCAAACACGAAAATACTTTAAAACAGTAATCATGATGCAATATTAGACTTTTAACACTTTCATCGAAAACCACACAGTTTTTCTCTGTTAACATAGTTTCAAGTGCCAAATTGTGGTCAAATCTAAAATGTTGAAACATGCAGTGCCTATGAATTTCAAAATATCTCCTATATAGCTGTATTTCCACAGGATAAGTAAGTTGAAATAATCTGATTATGTAACACTACAACAGTTTTTTCATCCCCACCCCCCGGTATGGAATCTGATACATTGCTGACCAATCATAGGTCGCCCCGTTCACTCGGGTCTGTCAAATGATTTACAATGGCGATGGTGCCTACAACTTTCCTGACCAAGAGATATGCACAACCGTCGATCAACACACAAGCCATTAATGTTATCTTCCAATATGAGAGGCCATGATAAACACACAAGCGTCCTTTTCAAGCTCGGAAATTAAGTCATCACCAAAAAGCAAAGTTTACAGAGGTCCTCGGGGCTGGAACCCAAACTGATTACAGTTTGCCCTCCACTTCCACCACAGGTGTCATAGAGATCAGGGATGAAATTGATATGCATCATCGTTCTCCTAAAGCCAGTCCAGGAAGAGATCAGGTTTTGAGATGTAGACCTGAAATGTTAAATTTGGATGAGAATGAGAATTCTGGGGCGAATACTATCCAGGGAAATGGTCATTGACATCCAGAAAATGGTCAAAATGTGGAATTCTGTCATTCAGTTAAATGTCAAGGGGAGAAGACAGGCCTGTGCAGTACCAAATTTCCAGCCCATTACTATTAGTGAGCAGAAGTGGGGATGAGGTTGGATGTACTTCTTAAAGTGTATGAAATGCACATTTATCTCACCTGTTTTGCTTCTTTTTTTTTTAATACTTGTGTTGAGGTCAATCATTCCACTCTATGAAACATTGCCCTGGCACCTGAAATGATAGGAGGCTGGGGATAAATATGCAATAAAAAACAGTGAGAAAATAAGAAAAAAATATGGTTTCAACTGGAAATAGAAATAAACCTCTTTATTTCTCGCGAACAGCCCGTCACTGGCCCTCCAAAAAGAAACCAGTTAACAATCAGTAAAAAAGTAAACCTTGAGTGTCACATAAGTCTAAGCCAATCTCAAAGGTAGATGCCATGTTTTGAGGTTCGGTCTAAATATTAAGGCCAACTGCATGTTTGGTCAAAAGTCACACAGGTGTGAATTTTGGAGTGTACATGTTAACATTTCATTGTATGATGTCAAAAACATGTTAGGTCTAAATGTTAACGCCAACTGCAGACTTGGTTCAAGGTCACAACATGTAAATAGGGTTAGGGCACATGATTTCTTGACACAATTGTGGGTTTGGGCTAGGGTCAGAACTAGGTCTTGGCTTAGGCCTAGGCTACATGCTTTTTGACAAGATTGTGGGTTAGGGTTAGGGTAAGGACTGGGTCTTGGGTTAGGGTTAGGGTCAGTCTTGTTTACATCTCGTGACTTTAGACCAAATCTGGAGTTGAGTTGGCCTTAATATTTAGACCTAACCATGTTTTGATATCATTGTGAACAAAATGTTACACATTTACAACCCAAAATTCACACTCAACCAACAGATACCCCCAATCATGGCTATTTTGATACCAAATAGTCAAAAAACTTACTGCTGGGCAATAAAAAAGCAGTATTCTTACCATTTCTGACACTTTCCATTCAAAACTTCAGGAAATAAGCCGTTGAAAAAATATCAACATCCCGAGTCGGCCATGCTTCTTTATATCATCAGGACTCAGACTAGCAATTATTTGCCCATTGACTTCAATGTTAAATGACTGTAACATCACAGGCTGTAGCTTTTTGCTCAACATTCCGTTGGTTCCAATCTTTATAGGCACAATGGGGACAACATTTGGCAATCTCCTCATCATAATTTTGTAGGGGGTTGACCGTTTAGATTTTTTGCTACACGGATTGACAGGGGTGAAAATCTCACTTCCGACACAATGATTGCTCTGCAGAAAGACACTTTACACCCCCTATCCCTCCGCTGTAATATCATCAGTATTACCCAAAACTGCTATGAAATTGCAAATTTGATCCCTTTTCTCCAATTTTAGACCAAAAAGTCAACCCAAAAATGCAGGAAGAGGGGAGAAAAAAATTAAGGGAAAAATTGTCTATTTATAACTCGCACTACATTCGTCCATCATGAAATAAGGGGAAATAATTACTAGTCTTAGTCCATCAGCTGGCTTTTGTAAGCTTATTTTTCATTGGTTAAAAATACCATTTTTCGATGATAATCATTGGCTGAAAGATTGTTGTTTTCCCGCCGCCATTAATAAAATAAACTTGTAGATTAACTCAACATTTTCTCCTTCTTTCTGCAGGTAAATATTAATAATCATAATGTCAAAGTTATGTTAGTTTGTGCATAAGATATCCAAGAATAAGTTGACAATTGTCCGTATTCAGGCATTGTCCCGTTTTTGTGCATTTTTCATTTCAAGTGACAATTGTGTTCCGAGTGATTGAAAACGCATGGTCGGTAGGAATATGTGACGTCAGTGCGTGGTTCTTGGGAATGGAATTGCACATGTTTGTTAAAGTATCATTATTGTCAGTTATTTCCTATTCCATTTTAGTCCTAAAAGAAACAATACCCAATTATGTTATATTGAGTACCCATGTCAATAATTCATTGTTGAGCTCGATTTTTCAATATTATATATTCATTCCATTATTTGCTCATTGGAAATGGAATCAATCAAATCATATTTGTTCATCCATTGCCTCAATTGTGTTTAGACTTTAGAATTAGACCTTGAACAGAACGTTAAGGAGTAAGATCTTCAGTGCGTATGTCATAGTTAGATTGTGTCAATCATTGGTCTCATTTTATATCCATTGCGCATAACACCCATGAGTGATATTCATTTTATTGTTCTTTATAAATTACAATTGTTCAAATTGCTGTATTGTTGTTTTCCCGCCGCCATTAATAAAATAAACTTGTAGAATAACTCAATATTTTCTCCTTCTTTCTGCAGAAATCTGTCGCCTAAAGACCACGGCAAGGCTTACAATTACAACGCCATATTTCAACGAATCAAAACAACTAAAGTGTCATTGGATAGCCCGAACAATGGGCGATCTTATGACATCTCAATGGTAAAAAATCGCTAGTTACGTAATATATTATGAGATGCTGAAAATCTAGTATTTTCCTTTTTGGAGCCTATTCAGACGCTTTTATCTCGAAAATTACTCTTATTTCCTTTCTTAAACTTCTGTTACTTAGAGTCCTAACGCTGGTCTGGGGTGTGAATCCAAATTTAAAAGCCTCAATATAGTATAAATGGTCCAAAGGGGCCACAATATTTTAAAAAAGTCGAAAAATCGTTATATCTGTAAATCTGCTTCTAGTGGTATAAGGGAGGTAAAACTGTCCAGTGGATCTTCCTGAAACTTCTGGTACAGGAAGTTAAGTTCCCATACCACTTGTTAAATCTATCCCGATAATGATCCGTAAACAGGAAGTAGTCAAAAAAATATTCGATATTTTAAAAGACAGTAAAAAAATCGGTGCTCTTGGAACAATCAGGATTTCACCGTCGGGTGTGACCGGATCAAAACATCTAAAGTATCGTTTGGTAGCTCGATAAATGGGCTATTGTATGACACACTTCCTGTCTGATTCCTGAAAGCCGGTTCAGTGCTGCTTGCAGGTCTAGTTTTAATTATTTCTGGTCATTTATTATTCTATAATGAGTCCCACGTCATGAATTTTTTAAAAAAATAAACTATTTCAGAACAGTAATTATTGATACACCTTTGATGTAATTAAAATAAAGCTAATGTACATAATCCATGTACATTAGCTATATTTTAATTACATCAAAGGTGTATTACATGTACATTAGCTATATTTTAATTACATTTTAATTCACGTGTTAAATGAACATGCGTACAGCTGTGATGGTTTCTGATTGTGATGATTATCCAATCAACAATCTTAATCTCCTGACCACTAGCTGGTGCTAATTAATTGATGAGTTAATCTCGCCGAAGTTATAATATACACATGTGAATATTATGCCGTATGTGTTGTGGATGTTTTGTTACGAAAGGAGTGCATATTAACGACAAAATAGCAAATAAATTGCGGAAATAGTCGGATCAAATTTTTACTACGATTTTCGTCTTCAGCACCCCTGAAAACCCATGGAAAGATATATTCATTGACAAAACGCTAAAAGTAAAGTTATGAAAATTATATTTGTTATTTGGTGTTATATGGTTGCAACATTTACATCAAAGATCCAAATATTTAGGTACATTAAAACCGGTCCTTGTGATATACTATTCAAAAAAAGTAGGGGATATTTGATTTTTAAGTGTTATTAAAGTCACCTAATGAAACTGACGAAGAAACAAATGACAAAATGAAATGAAGTCACATTCATCGATTTATTCCAAATGATCGTTAGACTAAGTAAGGCACAGACTGACCATTATAAGGGTAAAATGATACCCGGGGTCAAACAGCAAAGTTACCACAGCATCACAACCAAGTCAGTAACGGGTAAATCCTCCTCTGTTTGCCAAACAAGCATTGATCCGACGTGGCATACTCCTAATGAGACGTCTAAGGTCATTTTGGTCCAGATTGTCCCATTCCTGTTGCAACGCAGCAGCAAGTTCTTGGACATTGGCAGGACGTTGTTGACGTTGACGTAACCTCTGTCCAAGCATGTCCCAGACATGCTCGATGGGGGAGAGGTCGGGACTCAGTGCTGGCCAAGGTAATGTGGTGATGTTCTGTTGTTGGAGGTAACCTGTAACGATCCTGGCCCTGTGACATCTTGCGTTGTCATCCTGGAAGATGAAACGGCGGCCATGACGTCGTGCGAACGGCACAACATGGACTGCCAAGATGTTGTCCCGGTAGTACTGGCCTGTAACACGCCCTGCAACAACATGTAAAGCCGTTCTTCCAGCAACAGTGATGCCTCCCCACACCATAACAGAACCACCCCCAAATCGATCATGTCTGATGACGTTAACGTCTTGGAAGCGCTCGTTTCGACGACGCCACACCCTCCTACGTCTGTCCAAAAAATCAACAGTGAACCTTGACTCATCTGAAAACATCACATTGCTCCAGCGTCGATTATCCCAGTGTTGACGATCCCTACACCAACGAAGTCTTGCCTGAATGTGATGATCTCTCAAACAAGGGATCACGCGAGGACGTCGGGCGTGAAGGTGACCCCTATGCAGTCGATTCCGAATCGTCTGGCCACTCACTCTCACACCAGTGTCTGTTTGAAGACGAGCGCTGATCTGATTTGCTGTGATGACACGATTTCTCAAGGCCAAGGTACGGATAAATCGATCCTGGGCTTGAGTTGTCGCCCTTGGTCGACCTGAGCGTGGTCTGTCCTGTACAGATTGTGTATCACGGTATCTGGACCATAGCCTGCTTATGACAGACTGAGAAACATTCATCGTCCGCGCCACAACCGCCTGTGTTGTGCCGATCTGTAGCATGCCAAGGGCACGTAACCTTTCATTTTGGGTAAGCCGACGCATATCAAAATTTGTTTTCTGGTCACCAAAACAATTAAACTGATGTTTCCACCCTGGAATTCAATGCCACAATGACTGTAACATTCAAAGTCAGAGTCGTGCAAATCTTGGGTTGGACCCCCATGATGATCCCAAGCATCACCTGCATTCCATGCGGTAGCTATTGGTGCGTTTGGGCGTCACATGTAACTGGAAATGTTTCTTCTGTTAGGTTCTATAGTGACTTTTTTCGTAGTCATTTGCATATTTTAGTATTATGCCCCCAAAATCAAATATCCCCTACTTTTTTTGAATAGTATAGATGAATTTTGATTTGGTTAAGAAAGAGACGTTTCAGATGTTGCGACCATATAACACCAAATAACAAATATAATTTTCATAACTTTACTTTTAGCGTCAACGACAATATGAATTGTGACACAAAAAATCTCTTATATGTCTTGACACTACAAATATGGTATCGTTTAATATGGGGTTTTTAGCGTTGGTTACTATTCATACCGTTTAATTTCAAAACCCCATTCGATAATTGATAAAAATGGTTAAAGAATAACAAAAATGGTTTAATTAGTACTATGGTTTAGATTAATGTCAACGGCTTTAGTTTCTCCGAGATGCGTTTAAAAATGGACTACCCGTGCACTTATCTATGGCGTTCATTTATTGAACGAGCCGTTGAATTTCCCGAGATGCGTTTAAAAATGGACTTCCCGTTCAGTTATCTAGGGCGTTCATTTATTAGACGAGTCGTTGAATTTCCCGAGATACGTTACATCGTGTTTTGCCATGCTTCCTGCAAGGAATTTGCGAGAAGCTAGGCTCGAAATAATATTGTCTATAATTAATTGAAGGAGTTGTAATACAGTAATGCTGCCGCGAAAACGTGTACATGTATAATGTACAGGCCGGTTTGAATAACAACAAAATGAGTTAGGTAATTTCGGGAAAACATTTACCGGCATTCTGTATCGGTTAGGATTTTTTTCTAACACACTGTACATTCATATAACGTCGGCCAAAATGTATGCAACAATGAACAACTTACAATTTTTTTAAACGTATCATTACATCTTCGTAATGTAATCCATCAATTATTGGCTGCTATAAAATCCTAACTTTAAATTATATACGATGAGCTTTTACACATTACTTGCAGCTTCAGTTAATCTAAATCAATCATTCATAGAGCACAGTGCCGTAAATCACTCCACGGGGCACTTAACGGTAAGTCACGTGGTCAGAAACGCGCCAAAAGATTGGAACTATATTCTTACTCTGTGTTACTCGGCGACAAATCTCTGCTGTGACAATATACATCTGCTTTAAATGTCGCGAGAAGCTAGGGTCGAAATATTATTGTCTATATTTAATTGAA